TTTTCCTTTGTTACAGCCTTTCATTATTTAGTGTGTTTTTTCCCACCAGTGTTTTCTTCCTCCTCCCTGAGTTAGTAATTGTGTTCACCTGGTCCCTCTCCCCACACACCTGCAATTCATCTCCCTCTCATCTTCCCAGTCTATTTCAGCCCTGTCTTGTCACTCTGTGTTTGTTGGTTCATTGTCTTATGTGTTGTGTTGTTTGTTCCCCTCTCGAGTCTCTCCGAGTCCCTGCTCATGTGTGAGCTTAGTTAATTTTGAGTTTTTTCAAGCTTTTGAGTATTAGTCTTATTTTGTGCTTTGGACTTATCAGCACATCCGCCTTAAATAAAGGAATTGTTTTTCTTAAGACCTCTCCTGCCTTTGAGTCGTTCTGGGTACTTCTGCATCCTGGGTCCAACCTCCTCTCAACGTGACAAAAGGCTTTATCAGCCTGATTTATTTTAGACCAGGAATGTACTTGAAAAGGCTGCTGTCCACTTCATCTATGCTACAATCCTTCAAAACGTAGATGTTCTATCATTGCTAGTGTTGGTTTAGTAACATACATCTTCCTGTGCATCCAGCTCTAGTAAAAACATATTGTAATGACCTGGCTGGGGTTGTAAGCCAGGTGCATTCTGGGTATTGTGTTATATGTGTTCCTATCGTTCTGCTAGTTCCTAGGTGTTGATTTGCGTGTTGTGTGAGCGTTATGTTAATGTAAGCCACAGGGAAGGTGATGTGTGTTCTGTGGAGCGGGTTGAATTAGCATGGTTAACTGACACCGTGACTCTGTGTGGTAGGAGCGTGATAGAGGATCGTGTCTGTAGCGTTACAATGTGTGGAAGAAAAAGCCTTATAAAGGTCTGGTGTGAACCACTACTGCCTCCTGCTGGTAGATTTGGGGACTATAAACCTGCTGCTGGGACGCTCGGGGTCGCTACAATATCTAAAGGTGAAGCACCTGCTTCTTATCAACAGAGCCATTTCTTTTTACATTTTATTGTTTGAATTTGTCTCGTTTCATAACTTTTGCTCAACATTTAAGGGGAACTGTGTTAACCTGCGATCATCTTCATTACACTTGAACACTTGTACTATACCTCTGTCCGTCTGCTTATTAAACGGAATAACAAGGCAATACTCTATCTACTGGTTTTTTGATCAAGGGATGATTAGGTGTTGTGAGAAGATTCTCTATGCTACTGAGGCCTAGTCCACACGTAGCTGGTTTTTTTTTAGAAATGGATATCCGCCCCTCCAAAAACGTGCATCCACACCACCTTGTTTTAAAAAAAAAACAAACTCTGTCCACACATACCCAGATAAATACGTTGTTAAGGACATGCCAGACCTGCAGGCGGCAGTACTTCCCCCGTTCTTAACCTCGTCCTTCATCTGTGGTCTTCCGCAAGGAGCAGTAATTCCGCTTGCATAAACAAACAAGCAGAAAGCGCTTGGACAGTTGATAAAGCGAGCGCAGCTCTGAGGGCATCCATGCTGTCGGCTAGTGTAAACACAGGTCGCACACGTGATGTCAGCATTTTTAGTCGTGGAAAGTGACGTTGCGGACCTTAAAACTCCGGTTTTGTCTGTCCACACGCTTCACTTTGGCCGGAGTTTTAAAAAAGATCCGTTTTCGTGTGAAAAAACTCCGTTTTCGTGTGGATGACGGGCCAAATCGTAGAAAAATATCTACGTTTTGGCAGATCCCCGGCTACGTGTGGACAGGGCCAAAGTCTGTGTTAAATTGCAACTGGACACACACATACCCACACACAGGTTGTTCATTTGTTCTCAGAATGGGAATAATGCCTTTTAGAGTTTAAAAGTTATTTTTTTCTTGATGTCACTGAAGGTTGTGTTAGAAATATATGCAGCTCATCAAAAGGAAAAGTAACTGACGTAACCAAAAGCCTGAACTCCGGAGAATAGAGACGCCTGCCAAGATAAAGAGCTGGAGCTTTTGCTCCTTATCAGAGTCACTCCCATGGAATAGGCCTGACGATTTACTAGCTTCTCTTACCTTCTCCGCAGACAATGTTTAATATGAGCTTCAAGAGGTCTCTGCCCCTAACGGGGTTTGCTTTCACGTAGTAAAAATGCATAATTTTTCTGAATAAGATCATTAAGAGGCCACCCATAAGGTTATGTATTGTAACCCCATTCTATGAGTATAGCGTAGCCCTTTAAGCAATCGCCTATTGGATTAATTCCATCCCGTTAACCAATCATTGAAGAGCTTTTATGTACGCCCGCCTCCTAGGTGGGTCCTGGCCCCTAAAAAAGAGCACAGCGAGCATAGCTCGACTTCATAAGTCTTACTGAGCCCAAAGAACCAGCTGGGCCAAGATGCTTAAAGGGCTACGCTATACTCAAAGAATCTGGGGTTACAAAACGTAACCAACGTTCTATTTCGTATAGCCCCGCCCTTTAAGCCATCGCCTATTGGATTAAAGGCGGAGCCAGATATGGTCAACGGCTGTGTTCGAGATGAGCCAGTTCTGCGCAGATTGGATCAGCGGTGATCGGCGAGCAGCGCATGCCGGTTAGATTTGTGTTCGACTTGACGCCGACTTGCTCTGACGTCATGCATACGTAGGCAACGATAACCTCGTGAGATCAAGGCGGCCGCAGGTTTTGGAGCAAGGCGCTGCAGTTGCTCTCCACCGGCTGCAAAACCTAGAGGATGACGGGAAACGCCTGGCTCTCACCTGATCTAAGATCTGATTGGTTCATATTTTGATCCAAACATCCGGTGGTAGAGCATGAAATGCTAGTTGGTCACACGTATTCTGTAAGACATGTGACGTTGATGATGACAACAACAGAGGCCATAAAGAGAAATGTGTTTTGTGTTCTTTTGTCACGTTTCCTATGAGCACACTGAAGCTACAGCTGATAACCTTTACTTGTTATTACGGTCATGTTTTCATATAGAATATATGATATCCACAAGCACGTGAGGATGTGTTTCAGCTGCTAACAGGCACCAGAATTAAAATGGAAAATTAAACAAGTGTGAACGCTAACGCGATATCTTCAGCCATCGTCACCCCCGAGCTACACATGCAGGAAATTGTGTCTGACTTATGCGCACAGCAGATCTGTTCCGTAACATAAGGAGCCATATGATTGGCTGAAAGCGAACAGCCCTGGCAGAATCATATATTTGATTGACAGATTCATTAGCCAATGGTGACGTTTGTTGACCTGCGACGTTAGGAGAGTCTCAAAATTCAGCACACCGATTTCTCTCACGAATGCAGGAAGGTTCACAAATGAGAAGCTGTTCGTAAATGCACATTCAGCAATTCGTATGATCTGTGAGTTTATATTACAAGTGTTATTACAAATTATATTTGTGAACCATGGAGTGTGAACTTCACAATTAGCGTGTGCATTTGTGGGAAATGTTGCGTGACTTATTTTTTCACATTATACTTATGAGTCAAAGAGTGAGAATTTCAGAATGAATATGTGTATTTGTGGAAAACGTTGTGTGACTTAAGTCTTATTGAGACCGTTCTGGCCTCATAGGAGAAAGACAGAGAGAAAGATATATATATATATATATATATATATATATATATATATATATATATAGAGAGAGAGAGAGAGAGAGAGAGAGAGAGAGAGAGAGAGAGAAGAGAGAGCTGCAGCTTCAGTCTGTGTGTGTGTGTGTGTGTGTGTGTGTGTGTGCTTCTCACAGCAGTGAGGAGAGAGAGAGAGAGAGAGAGAGAGAGCTGCAGCTTCAGTCTTTGAGTGAGTGTGTGTGTGTGTGTGTGTGTGTGTGTGTGTGTGTGTGTGTGCTTCTCACAGCAGTGAGGAGAGAGAGAGAGAGAGAGAGAGAGAGAGAGAGGAGAGAGACAGCTGCAGCTTCAGTCTTTGTGTGTGTGTGTGTGTGTGTGTGTGTGTGTGTGTGTGTGTGTGTGTGTGTGTGTGTGTGTGTGTGTGTGTGCGTGCGTGCTTCTCACAGCAGTGAGGAGAGAGAGAGAGAGAGAGAGAGACAGAGAGAGAGAGAGAAAGAGAGAGAGAGAGAGAGACAGAGAGAGAGAGAGAGAGAGAGAGAGAGAGAGAGAGACAGAGAGAGAGAGAGACAGAGAGAGAGAGAGAGAGAGACAGAGAGAGAGAGAGAGAGAGAGAGAGAGAGAGAGAGAGAGAGAGAGAGAGAGAGAAAGAGCTGCCGCAGCTTCAGCTAGAGGCGATGCTTACGTCTCAGTATCCAGAATGAAAAAGAATCCCGAATGCGGGAAGCTCCTGCTGGTTGATTCTATTAGCCAACTGGAAGCTCCCCCTAATGGTAGGTGTGTATTTGAGCTGGCCAATCAGTTGGCAGTGGGAGTGTTGGACCGGTTCAGCCCAAAGCAGACCGCCTTGGTAAGTGGGCTGAAAAATCGATTATTTGAGCTCTGAAAAACACCAGGCCACCTAGATGTGAACACTTCAAAAGCTACCCAGTCCGGTCCGTGCCGGTCCAGATGTAAAAGTGCCATTACACATCAGTCCTATAGAGCAGTGGTTCCCAACCTGGTGTCCGTGACCCCCCCGGGGGTAGGGTGGGGTGGGGGTGGGGGGGACCTTACCAAGACTCTATTTGTAAAAATGACATAAATAAAATGACACACCCAACAGTACAATTAAAAGCACGTGTAAGAGGCATAATGCTGCCCATTTGTATAAAGTCTGTAATTATTCACTTTTAATTGTGTGCATATGGTTAGGAGTTGGGGTTGGGGGGGTGGGGGGGCTGGCTTTTCTTGGACACAGGAAAGGGGGCACTCACGAAAAATGTTGGGAACCACTGCTATAGAGCAACAAAAGCTATTTCCCACAACAGAGGCTGTTCAGGATGCCTCCCGTGTTAACTATTTAGAAATTTCACACAGAGAACAGCTTCGAATGGCCACTAAAACCGTCGCTCCTCTTTGGACTTAGAGCCATCTGTCTGTCTGCTAAGCACCCCCCACGCCTGACTTCCTGCTTACAGAAGGATAAGACTCATCCTGGTGTTGTACCTCAACGCCCGACTTCCTTTTCTCTGCGTTATCGGTGATGTTCAGCAGATCTCCGAAGCGCTCGTTGGTGATGAACTGGTGGTGCGTCGGGACAATGCCCGTGTGTCTCCTCGATGCTGTGTCAGCCTCTTCCTGTTCCCGCTTCAGCCGCCGCTGCTCCTCCAAGATTTTCTAACAGGAAGCAGACTCAACATGTTTTCTGCTCTTTCACTGATAGAAAACATTCCTCAGCTCTCCATATTTACGCTGTAGGTGAAGTTTCAGGGAGGAAAATACCTCTTTGTCTCCATGACGCCTCCTCAGCACCTCATCCTGGTTTTCCCCGTGAGCTGGGGAAGAGTCTGACACAGAAAACCAAAGAAAAGACATTTAAGCTGCCGCAGTCCACTGGTTACTTTAAGGTATACTAAAGGGTAATGAAACTGAAGTCATCTCCTCAGTGAATGGACACGACCCAAAACAACTGTAAACATGCATGTTTGGAATCGTTTAGTTGTGGAGATTTCGCACAACTAAGGCAACAAACGGCAAAAAAAGGGCCAGATCCAGATCTGCATGCATACACAAACGAAAAGAAGGACCAAACGTGAATTCATGAAAAAAAAAAGAATAAATAAATAAATAAATGCAGGATTTAGATGAAGAAATCCAAAAAAGTATCATGGTAGTACTGATGGTGACTGAGCGACCTGCACTGACTGTTCATAAAGGTTTGGATTTTATTATAACTACGTTTTCTCCCTGAACCACAAAGATTAGAAAAAGCAGCTAGAGACTCCTGAACAGGAACGTTTGGGAGCTAAAAGTGAGAAAGGCGTCTCAAAAAGTGGAACAAATGTAAAAAACTAAAACTTTTCTGTGGGATTATGCTAAATTACATCCCAATATTCAGACTTTAGGTCCTGGGTTAATTTGAATTTGAAGTTATCGACTCATCATTACATCTAATAAAACAGAAAATACCACTGATGCCTTCACAGCCTGGAACGCTCATGCACACAACTCAGATCTGACGTTTGGAGAGGATATACGTTACCAAAAGCCTCCTGAACCTCCTACAGGCCCTGAAGGGTTTGGCTGAGTTTGTGGAAGCGGACTCATTCACAGTGAAATGGAAGGACAATCAAAATGAGGCGGAGAATGCCCTGCCACCTAAACACGCCACGCAGACTGGAAATGAAGGGCGGTGGCATTGCTTTGTGGAGAAAAGATTACACGAGGTGGAGCGGAGCTGAGAGAGATGAGTGACCACAGAAGGAGAGGGTGACAACGATGAAGGGATGGAGATAGCAACCTCTGTGGTGCGCTGCCAGCAGCTGCAGTAGGTTCCCATTGGCGTCCAAGCCCTGCCCGTTACTCAGCTGGTCAGTGTCTTTGCTCAGCTTCTCAAGAACCTCCAGGGAGGACAGGCGCTGAGGGATTGAGGGTCTGAGCTCTCTGAGCTCTGGGGACATGGTACCGGTCACCCTGGTGGCTAACAGCATCCTCTGTGTTTGGTGGGAATGCAGGTTCTTCCGTAGCCTGAAGGGAGCTGGGCCCGTCAGGAAGAGGTTCCCGGGCAGCATGGCTTTCTTCTCTGAGACCGGCTGCCTGTCCTGCTGCATGGTGGCCTGCTGCCTCTCGTGCCTGAGGATGGTGGTGAAGCGGGTGTAGGAGGCGGGGCAGGAGCTTTTGCATTTGCTGGGTTTGAGGTTCAAGTGGTGCAAGAGGTGGTGGTGGAGATGGTTGTGTTGTGGGGGTGGGGGAGTCTTTGATTGTTGGGAACGTTCCTGGGAGCCCGAACTGAAGATGTGTTCCACTTCAACCTCAGTGTTACAGGGAAACTCAGTCCTGATGTTCTGTCCGTCGTCTGAGGAGGAAGCCGCCTCCTCCACGGCCACAACGTCTGCCGTCAGGGCTTCCTTGCTAGAGTTTTTGCTACCTGGCTCCACCAGGGGGCAGATATCCGCCTGCGTGGTGCTGGCCACCAACAGGGACTCAGCCGACTGCGTAGACACCATGCAGGGATGGTCGGGGCTGCGGTTGGGGCTGCAGCTGGAGCTCAGGCTAGGCAGAGACGAAGAGCGGCTAGGGGCTGAGCTAGACCGCTGAATGATCCTTTCAAACTCACTGATCCGCGACGTTACGTTGTTCCGCGCGACGTTCCCGCTGTCATCAGCCTCCGACCTCTCCCCCTCCACCTTTACCTTCTCGAACAGAGAGGCCAAGCTGCGGACGCTGCCATGGGGGCTGCAGCCCACGGAGCTGGGACGCTGGATGTGATGCATGGTTTTGTACAGGCTGGAGAACTCTGAGGCGCTCCTCCTGATTGCAGGGGAATCATCCCTGAGGCCGTCGGCACTCTGGCCACCACAGACGGACACATCGTCCGATAGCTGTCCGCTGTCCCTGTCCTCTGCTGCTCCTGTGTAGAGATCCTCACAGCTGTGGGCCTTTCCGCGTCTGACAGCTGTGGTCTCGCCTTCCTGACCGTTGCCACCAGGCGGCAACAGCACCGGCTTGAACTTAGAGGGCAGGATTTGGGGTATGCAGGTTTTGGCAGCAGATAAAGGCTTCTTACTCTTACACTGGTCACCTATTGCATTACTGGCAAGAACCGTTCGACTATTTACAGAGGAGCAGGGTGAAATTATATAGCCATTCCCACCTTTATAATCCACTGGTAAGCATGCAGGACAACAGAATAAACAACATATTAGATTACAATGATCACAACTTTACACACAAACACGCTAGAACAGTTTCTAGGATTGAAACCAGATTCTCTCAGACGAGAGGCGGACTTGATGCACTGTGCATCAAGTAGATGGCCGTCAAAATAAGAGCACAGGAGCCTTTTGACCTTGCTTTCCATTATCACTGCAAACAGCAACACAACAGCCAAAACAAGCTGCAGTAAAGCAGTTAAATGCCATGAAATGTTATGCGATGTGACTAAAGAGCATCTAAAAGTGCTATAATTAAAACCTCTATGTTGTTTACTGTGTTTCAGTATTTTATTTATCCACTCACTGCACTGGAGGTTTATTTTAGACCACTCTGAAGTGTGTTTCTTTGTAAAAGCAATATTTATTAACTAAACTTGCAAAGATTTAGGTTTTGTGGGCCGATACCGATTTCTGACATGCTAACACAACTTTGCGTCGATTCAAGATTTTCTTACTACAAGTAACGAGTAAAATATTAAAATATTTCCTGTTGACTGATTCTAGAAGTAAAAACGTCCAGAGACACGATCTGGTCATGCTAGTCAGTGGCCTAGAAATCTGGACCAACCGTAGGTCAGCAGGTCGGTCTGACCTTGTTTCATTGTAGCCTCAGCAGGCCTACCCAATGGCCCAGATAGGTTTGTGTCTAGCCAATCGCAGCGCTCTACGTTGGAAATGCAGGCTCAGCACCAGAGCTGTGACAGAGAAAACCTACAAAGATGGCGTCGCTAAGGAACAGCGCTCGTTTCAAACGTCTTTGGCTTCAGCGTTTGACAATTTAGCCTTGGGCTTTTCTTTGAGACATGAACAGATAGAGGTACTTGAGTCCTTGATTAAAAAAAAAAAGAAAATATTTTCTTGGTCCTCTCTTTCGCAGGTGTACAGCGGTCTAACCTGTTGACTGGTTTCCACAGCGATGACTATACCACATTGTTTGCTGCTGTGATTGGTCCAAGTGCTGTGCAGTTTGAAAGACAACCATTGGTTCGGCCACACGACGCTTGTGACCTAGATTATATATTTAAATACAGGATGGCGTACTAGGATGGTGAATTAGTGCTTGGCGATGGAGAAAAGTGTGATAATAGATCGGCCAATCACAAATTAGACCAGTCAGATCCAATTAGATCCAATCACAACACTTTGGGCCAGAAGCGTACTGACAATCTGGGAGTTCTGGAAAATCCCAGAAAGGCTGGTGTACTCCAGGCCGGGGGGACGCGCTCCGGACCGCTGCCCCCCCCACCCCACCCCCCACCCCACCCACTCGTAGAGGTTAATGCAGAGTGGCAATTAAAAAGAGCACAGATATTTTTAAAAAATGATCAAACTGGTTCAGTATTATTAGGTTTTATTAGTAATTTATATGGAATTCTATGGTTGTTCGCATGCAAAACTGTCATTATCAGCAAAATGTGGCACTTCCTGTGCATCCAGGAAGGAAAACAGCAGGAATATCTGCTGACAAGTCCAATGTGATGAGAATCTACTAGTTGTGTAAAAGGTTGCATGAGCAGCTCAAACATTGGAGCAGTCTTAAAGAGGCAACTTTAGCCGTTAGCTCATCGGTCATGTTTAACGTTAAACTCTATTTCTTTAAACTGAGGCTATTCAGGGTAAGGTTTGACGGTACAGCCTTTTATAATTGATCAGTCAGCTGACACAAGGGTCACTGTGCAAATCTGCAGCCGTTTACTACACAGGCCTAATAACGTGCTGTCACCTAGAACTAATTGTTTTATAATCGATATCAGAATTTTTGTGGATGTTATAAGTTCAGGAAAGTATTGTTGTTCATGGTTTTTACACAGAAACACTTGAAAATGGCCCTAAAAGTCCCCTCAGCTCCCCTCCACCAGACTCTTCTCTACTCTTTCTTGGCTGCAGAAGATCCCTCTGTGGTCGTAAATTACAAATGCATCCCGAGTCCACCTGTCCAGCTTCTCTGTCTGTCCGACAGCAGCAGAAGCGGCGAGTGTCGGGTCCTGGCGGGCGTGCGTTTGTGCTGCGATGAAACTGGGAAATGAGACGGCATGTTTGCGCGCTCGTCTGTGGGATGAGGGACTGATCTGTTCCGTTCATAGCTGCCAGGGAAACACCATGAGGACGATGACTCGGGCTTTTTTATTCAGGGCATGTGGCGAGTGATGAGTCACCATCCTGGCCAGTAAAACACCCCCGAGGAGGCTGAGTTTTTTTTAACGACGGATAGAACAGATGCTTTTGTAATTGTGAGCCACGAGGCTGAAACACATGACGAAGTTTTGGGCTTCTTCAGCCTTGAGCTGCTCTTAAGAGACGCTAACGACCAAGGTGGTGCCTCCAGGTGTCATCTACCCATTCTACAGCTTAGCTCCATAATAGCTGGTGAAATTTAGCCAACATGATGCATCCCTTCCTAGCACTTCTCCTCTCCACCCCCACTCCCTCCCTCTAGCATTCCAGGCCGACTCCACACTGACAGCTGACTTCCTCGTGCGGCCACCCTTTGTGTCCCTCTTGTTTATCTCAGGCTCGTCTTGCTGCTGTGAAGAGCAGAGACCTGTTTATCTCTCTGGTACCTCCTCATCCATACCCTCTCTGGCACTGGGACGCTCTGGAGTGCTGCCCTAAGCCTGCCCGGCGATTGGCAACTGGAGCAGGAGGAGGAAGGGGGGTAAACATCCCTGAGGTTGGCTTTCACGGACTTAGCAGGACAACCTCGTGTCCTGAATGAGTTTTCCAAAGCAGACGAACAGATCCATGGCATCAAAACAAAAGCAGTTAAGGGAGGTGTGTGTGGGTGTGTGGGGGGGATACTGCGAGGTGATTGGCTAACGAAGTGGAGCAAAGAAAAGGTGCAACTTCCAGCAGAAAGGTAAACAGAAACACATGGATTCCTGTCTGGAAACCTGAACGGCACGCACACGCACACGCACACACACACACACACACACACACACACACACACACACACACACACACACACACACTGCTGGCGTCCTACCTTTGGAAGAGGAAGAGCTTCCATGGCGCTTGTTTAGAGCTCGTAGACCTTGTAAGGGAATGTCACCGCCCTCCAGGACACTCTTGTAAACATGTCGGTCACATTCTGGAGCCAAAGGCTCACTCGTGGACGATCCTCTGTCCTTTTCCACCTCGCCGTGTCCAGGCTTGCTCGAAGAACTTGAGCCCAAACGAGAGGAGCGACTAATTAGACGCATTTTATCGTCACCAGAGGCTGTTGGGTCACATGGTTCTTATTTACCGCACCCTGAGGTAACTTCTGTGCTCACATGCTCGTGGGAAACGGTAATTGGAGTGAGAAGAAAAACAAATGTTGGAGGGCTGATGCCGAGAGAAGATGTTTTCTAAAACAGATATCCTGGCGTTCCAAAGAGGCCAACGGGACGGATTTCTATAAATATTCCCCGAACATTCCCACACGGTGCATCGGCCGCTGCCGTGCAACTGCAACTCTCACCTTCACTTTTTTCACCTGCTGTCGCCCCAGGTTTGGGCTGAAACCCCCAAAAGACCCATTTTAGGATTAATATCAACATCTAGAGGTGGACAGAGACACGCGCCGCTGTTCACCTCCTCAACAAGAGTCTCTTTCAGAGCCGGTGGAAAAATATGTGCACCGCTGGCAGCGTGTTCGCCTAGAGGCTACCTATATGAATTGCTTCAGTTGGTAACAAGCCATTTAATTAAGTTTATCCAACCTAAATTGTAAAAATTGTACTAATAATTTAAGTTGGATAAACTTAATTAAATTGCTTGTTACCAATTGAAGCAATTTTTTAAGTTGGATCAACTTTTTCTTTTTACAGTGTAACAGGGACCCGCTTCCTTCAGTTTAAGGCGGCGTTTAGAGTTAGAGGATGTTCTGCTGCATCACAACGAGGGATCTGGTTGGGATGCTGCAGCCTTTATGTCGCATCCTCCTGTAACTTTTTTATCTCAAAGCTCGTTACTCTTCATTAGTTTGCCCAGCTTATTCGGATTTGTGGGAAAAGTAGTGAAAGATTGGGAATCTCGGGGCTCTTAAGGGAAGTCAGTTGAGGGTTTCTTTTAAATTTGTGGCTCCTCACTTCTTTATTCAGAAATCCTCCTAAATAATTAACACATCAGTGGTTTGGAGAGCTAGATTTGGGTTTTATTTTGAAATCCTTCGCCTGTGATGACATAATTACGGTAGCAGATGGGAAGCAGAAATGCAGGAAGAAGTTTATTTTCACTAGACGGCCACCGTGCCTCGGCCCTGCATTCTTTACATTTTATTACCCAGACAGAAATAGAAACTGTTCGTCTCACCAGACAGAAACGAGGCGATCGGCCGTGAGGTGAGGTTTGGTTTGAGAGGAGCTCCAAGTCCAGGTCCCGGTTAGACTTCTGCACACTCACTACTACCAGATAACGCTATTTAACTTATGCAGCAGCCGGATGAGTTCCCTATGTCCATCCAGGTCCTCGTCTTTAAATAAAACCCTCAAAGCCGTCACATTGTCTGAACCCCAGAGGAAGAAACACACAGGACACGCTGTTCTGGTGTCTTTTTGCCTCAATCCCAGGATCAGCTCAGGAAACGGGGAGGAGGGTCCCCCCCGCTGGACCTCACTGACTCTCACTGACATTATCTTCACAACCAATCTGGATTTCTAATAGACATGCAGGATGATTTACAGTAGAATCGAGCAGGAAGGAGAAGCGTTGACTTACTATTGCAGGTCGGAGGCTGTTTCCAAGGGGCTGAAGGAGGGGGCACTCTGCAACAAACCAAACAAAGAAGTCATTGATAGATCCACAGGAAGGTCTCCCCCAGCTAGAACAGAGGCGGCAGCCTCAACCAGAGCCAGATCCGGTCTCCTTTCTGCTCCGCTGCGGGTGTTTCTCCGTGGAGCACCGCGGCTTGCCTCGGGACGGGGCTTGGCATGAAAGGGTGAGCGTGTGTTTTGGCCTCTATGCAAGTTGGAGAAAACAAGCGGCAGAAAACAGAGTGGAATGGAGGGGGTGGGGAGGTGGGCGTGCATCGGTCGGGGAGCGCCCATGCGGGGAGGGGGGGAGCTGTCACAGGCTCAGCCTATAGGCTGCCGTCTCTCAGTTCTTTTGTCTGAGGCGCTCTCATTGCCACTGGACCAGACTGGGGACAATTAACCAGCTGGTGGTGCGAGGAGGCCGGGTTACACGTCCGCTCACACTCATGCTCGTCAACAGGGACACGGAGGCTCAGCGGACACAGTAAAGACAGTCAGACATGCAGTCATGTCTAAAAGACAGTCCAGACAGGTTTTAGAGTGTTGGGACACAATCAAAGGTCCACTTTATGATGCAACGGCGCACAGAACCGACGTTAGCAGCGAAAAGGTGAAGTAGCCGTTTTCCGCCGGGCCCGATCGGCCTCACGTCCCTCTGGAGGAGGTGTGTCAGCTCTTCTTTACTGGTAATAAGGAGGTGTTTGTTTCCCACCCGCAGCCTCAGTCAGGTTCAGGTCCGGACTTCGACAGGACCTGGTTCTGCTGCTGCGCTTGGGATCATGGTTCTGGTGTCTGACCCGGTTTGGGCCAATCAGCTGTCAGAGAGATGGACCCACATTCCACTCCATGGACGTAATTTTCACTTTAGAAGTGGGGGGGACACGGGGGTCTTTACAGTATGCTCTAATGGGAAACAGGCTTCAACACAAACGATTGTTTTCTGCTTGGTCCTAGAGCTCAACCAGTGTCAATTTAATATAGCGTAAAATTGTTTTTGGATGGTAAAAAGTGCAGGGGTCAAAACTTTACTTTGGAAAAAGTGGGGGGGACATGTCCCCCCTGTCCCCCCCCAAAAAATTACGTCCATGTTCCACTCTAAAATGCTTTGGTCTACAGAGATGATGATGGAGGTCCTCCTCCACCATGCTGAAGGCAGGTATCAGCTGTTCTCCTGGCATGGAGCAGTGCATTATGGGTAAACATCCCTACTGCTCTCATTGACCAAAAGGACAAACTTCCAGACGTCTTCCTGGCGATTCAGAGCCCTAAGTCGTGTTGCCCTGTTGTTTATAGAGAGAAGAGGTTATTTCATTTGGCCCTTCCACACAGCTTCAGTCTGCTGCCGTTTGTCCCGGTGACCTTTAACCTTTATCCTGCTAACCAAGACCTGTCGAGCCTGAGATGGAGCTCTTGGTTCTGACCCAGGGGTGAATCTGCTGGCACGTCCACTCCTGGGAAGAGTTCTTAAGTCTGTTAATAATCTTTGTCGTGAGGGCTCTAAAATGTTAGTAAATGACCTTTAACCCTCCCCAGGCTGACGGGTGGTTAACACACGCCTGTATGCTCCAGACACACACATTCTGTGGACTTAGATCATCCCATTTGGTTGTTGTTGGATGAATACCAGCATGGTGAGATCTCAGAGGTGTTTTTCTAGGTTTTAGTACAGAAACGAAAACATAAATCATGTCCTGATGCAAAAACCCACAAAACCGGGTGAAGCGTATTTGACCGTGTTCATCGTAAAAAATGGAAAAATGGTGAAACTTACGTGGACAGCTGATTAGACGGCTGTAGGAATAACGGTTATTCAAACAAACGGGGGTCATTCATTCAGCCCAGCAGCACCCACCAGCAGTCAAAATGGTTAGCTAATCTTAGCACGCTGTTTCTGTTGCCCTCCTCCTTTTGGACGTCACAGAAGGTAAAAATAATGGACGTTACACGAGCACTAAGAATAAAAGCACAAGTGTTGTTTGCAAATATGATTGCACAATCCCCGCCTCAGCCAGCCTGGCCCTGTGCTTAATACCACATCCACTTCCCTGCAGCACGGCCAAGCCGCCGCTTCCCACGAGCAGCAGCCAGACGAGGAACATTCTGAACTGCCCGTTTGCCACAACATACCTTAACACTTGGTTGCCGGGGCAGAATGGTCATTAATAACCTTTCAGAAAGAGTGCCTAAGGTGGCAGGGGCCAAACACCAGGCTGACAGGTCTGTAGTCGCATCTATTTATAAAGCTAAATGTTCCATGGCGACTGCGAGAACACAGCGGTGCCGCTGAATAATCTAAAGCTCTTCCTTGCTCCGTCGTGTCTTCTATCCGCCCTCAGATCTTTTTATCTGGGGAGAAGAGAGTGCTCAGTGACACCCTGGCTATCGGGCTTACTCACAGACGGCATCAGCGGAAAATAAATAGGAAACAATCATGGAGGCTTATCTGGACTCGAGAAAGGGAATCTTGATCTAGTTTTTTTCAACAAGAAGAAGGGTTTGTGTTGTAAATGAACTTTTTCAGACCTGAAAGGGTAAACTCATTCACTTTCAATCAAATTTTACCAGGTTAATCACTAAATGAAACTTTGCTCCAGTTTTAAACACAAACACAGCAAAGAGAAGGGTGTAATCGCACGAAAATCACCTACTTGAAGCTGCCAGAAGCAGGAGAAAGAGAAAAAACTGTCACAAAATCTGCAGAATTGCACGTTTCTTAGCGGGTGACGCTTTTGTGTTTTCATAGTTGAAATATCAACCCTAACTGGGTCATGATAACACGAACCCGTTCTTCCCACGACTTTATTTGTGTGGATGTGCACTAATAAAAACAAACAGGAGGGAGCCGTGCCTCCATCCTCCCGCTGCTAAATGCTTAAAGGTAAAGATTTAGAGCATAACAGAGGTCAGATGTGAGGAGAGCTGATGGGCTTACACAGTTGCCCTGTTTGGAATATGGGGGGTTGGGGGGGGTTTGCATAACCCACCACTGAGACGGCATGGCTGCAGCCCTCACGTCAACATGTGTTCTGCAGATGGAGTCACTCTGTCGGTTTAGGGGACCAAAGTGATCTTCCTGACCAGAGACATGTCAGGAATTCCAGTTGGCTATGTTTACCAGTGACTCAGTCACTGGTCTTCTGTCTCTCCTTACCCCTTCAGCACTTTGAAGTCAATTAAGAAGATAGTTATTACGATTTTACCAGAATGGAAGCGTAAAATCATCGGTAATCAGGCGATTTCTTCTCGAAATGGCCACAGAGTCATTTGTCATACAGCTTTATGAGACATCATTTACCCCAAGGACGGCGTCTCACTGGGCTGCGACTGTGGGGGACACCCGCGAGAACCCGTCTGGAACCCTTCACAAAGGTTCGTCGGTTCAGCTTCTCCGAGTTAGAAATTGCGGGACGAGTTCGAGAAACTTTAATGACAAACTTCAAATAATCTGAGACCCCTTTGCAACAAAGAAAAATGTGCACACATATACCCCTCATGACTAACCTAGTAATCTAGGCAGACAGCTAGCCAATGGAACCGCTGCAGGGCTACCATTGGCTGAAGCGATTTTGTGTTATGCCAAGCACAGTTCTCAGTAGGTGGGCGGGATGGAGCGACGGACTGGAACAACAAAGATGGCGGTGGCTTGTTTGAAACGACTTTGGCACCAACTTTGGAGGTACTTAAGTTTATTTAGAAAAAGGACTTCGACAGAGTTTGGCGGACTGCTCCGCACACAGACATCTGTTGCGGTGAGTGCATCATGTTGTCTGTTGTCCAATAGCATGTGGAGACAGTTTGAAAGACAACCTAGATTCCACCCCACGGCTGAGATCTGTCTGTGGGTTGTGGCCAGACCACAGTAGGTACGTAAAATAGGGCCGGACGATAATTCAATAGTTCAATATATCTATCGATCTATCGATGTGGTGCGATAGATAAAAAATGGGTCGATAAAACTTCGATAAAAACGTTTCCTTTTTCCATTATAACCTATCAGATAGCAGCATACTAGACTCACTACTTACTCCTAACCAATCAAAACCACAGACTCGGCACTCTACGTCACCAGGCCCTCCCCTCTCAAACCAAAAGAGAGCGAGAGGCAGCTGCAGCAAGATAGTGATGGGATTTATGGCTCTTTTATGGGAGCCGTTCATTAGTCGGTCGTTTAAGCGAGGTTAAGCGCTTGAAGCTCCTTTTTCCAATTACATTGAATGCAGCATGACGTAAACAAACACAGACTCCAGAGGCGCCAAAGTGGTTGCTGCTAGGATGCAGGATGAAGCGAAAAAGGCGAGCAACGATTACCGCGTATTTAAAAAAGACCAACAGTGTAAGTAGGCGGGACCGATCTGTCTGTTTATGCATGTTGGTTCTAGTTTCAGTACTTTGTTGTTGTCAGTGTTGGGACTTACTCGTTATAAACGCCAAAGCCTCATTGCTGACTTTAACAAGTCTCATCTACAAATATGATCCCTCATGAAGTTACTACTTTACACCAGAAGATAGTGGAGATGTGGAACCTTCAGGCTGAGCAAAGTTTGGGAGTTTAGTTTGAAAATCGTCTCCCGCCGAGAGGCTCCCAGTCGGGGAGAGGAGGAGATGTGTGCAACATGAAGAGCGCAAATATTAGATAAATCATATAGTTGCCCGCAGGTCTGGTCTTTGTTGACTGATCACTTTGTCTGGTCATGACTGACTCTGATTATGAAGCAGAATATTGACTCTGATGAAGAAATTCACTCATCCGGCCGGGAAGATTGACGCTGCTGCAGCATCAGACAGCTGGTGCTGCACGAGAGGTGTGTGGAGTTTACGAGCTCCAAACGTTGGGTTTGATGTTGGTTTAACCTTCTCTGAGACGTGATGGATGTAGAAATGATGGTAAAACACCGCTAACGTGACAGACGTAGCGACAATGTAAAAAAAAAAAAAAACGTAAAAAAGAGGCAGATGCCGATGCGTTAGGTATGGAAGTCAAGTGTGCCACATAATCATAAAAAAAGTAAAAT